ATATTTTGTTCTAGTTATATTAAAATTTAAAAGTAATTATATTTTTTATTTTCCCTATATACCTACATACTATCTCTAACATTTTACAAATTTGATGCCTAATTAAAGATTTCATCTAGCATTGCAGAACATAAAACGTTTTTCACATTTGTATAAATCTTCTACATCTGTCATATTAGGATAACAAGATTGTATCTAGACAGCTAGTTATTTTTTGGAGTTGAAGTTTGTATAGCCATTAACTTGTTTGATTTTCATTGTGTTTCTAACTCTAATTTAAGAGAAAATCTTAAGTGATAAAAAATGCAGAAAGAACTAAGCGACCTACATTTTTTAGAATATTTGATAAAGCATAGTAGTAACTGCCAGTTAAAACTGTGTTTCTAGTATTTAGTTTAGGTAACAGAGACAAGGGTTGGAACAGAAAATACATACTTTTGTTAATTCAGAATTTTTAAATGTTGTTTTATATTATACATCTTTCTAGGTATCCTCTATAATTTTTTTTTATAATTTTCAATCAAAACTGTTTAAAAACAAAAAGTTTAATAAAAAAATACCCATTATATTTAATACGGTTTATGCTCTAAAACTCACTGTTCTTTTAATGGCAGATTTTTTAACCTCTGAGTAAAGTTACGCATAAGTATAATCTATAGCCTAATCAGCAAGTAGTTACTTTCAACTTTATTCAGAGGTAAAAACCTGGCCTTTAATCTTATTATAATTGTGGAGGATGGAGACTACATTTGCTAGGGATTAGGGAATAACAAAGATCTAACTACTATAATGACACTTGCTAAAAACTGTATAAGTTCTATGTACATGCAGATAGAACCATGTGAATAACTTTAGTGCTTCGATAACACAACATTGATAATTAACAGATGAACATATTGGTCACAAAAACAAATTAATTAATATATTCTACCAATCTCATTTTTTCCAAAAAGTACAGTTACAACCTTGTTATTCTTTGAGATGTATTTATTACTGATACTTATTAATAAAAATAATAATAATAATTGATATAGGTACTTACTGATCTTTGGAAACATATATACTCCAGTCCAGTGAGACTTCATTATTCTGGTATAATGCTATTTCACAGAAATGTTTGTAATTCCAATCACTATGTATGGATTTGATTATAGTAGGTATAAAACTAAATGTTTATTGAATATCTTTAATCTGGGCAATGAAAACCACAAAACTCACTTTAAAAATAATAAGCTTCAATCTGAGTACCATAGTTAAGGTCCACTTCTTCATTTTATAATCTGTAACCCACTGTATTGCTGTTTTTGCCAAAACAAAGGTAATATTTGAACACAAAACAAAATCAGCTGTTTTTTATAAACACCCCCATTTCACTTATTTAGTAGCAAGTCTCTGGCAGCAACTTGTAACTTAATTGGAGCATATTTATTAAATCTTGAACACTTTTTTTGATCCTATAAACGCACACATCAGTGAAGCTTGTTTAAAAAAAAAACTTATAAGCAACCATCAATAACAATAAACTTATTTGTTGACCATTAATTTTTTCATCTGTACTTCTTCTGATAGTTTTGTTATTTTTCATTTCATATAAACTCGAATTTTCACCATCACCAACTATTTTTATGATTGCAATTTTTCTGACAGATAAAAAGTTTGCCGCAATTTTCCGCCGTAACGACACTAGCGAACCTAGCGGATTTTTGCCCTAAGTACGACCGGTTTTGGTATGTTTTTTTCAGGGAGTTGAAACACCTTTATAGTGCGCCGTGGGTTTTATAGATTTTAATGCGTCAAAACTGTCAATATTTAAACAAGTTGATTGAAGTTTATTCACATCAACATGAGAAACTTTAGAATGAACGTAGGACTTGCTAAAAAGATCAGCAAAACTATTTAGTATGTCAGCAGGATTATCCAGTGTATTATTTTCATAGGTCATGTTATTAGCAACTTTACTAGAACTTTTTCTACTGTTGACGTAGGCCCAAAACTTGTTAGAGTTAATAGATATATCATTCTTTGCTTTTAACAGATAATTTTCATGTGCCGTTTTAATTGCAATTTTAACTTCAGCTCTTATGCGATTAAATTTTTCGAAAGCCCTAATATCATTGTCTTTTTTATATTGACACCAAAATTTTGATTTTTCTCTTATTTTTTTAATGATACTGGGATTAAACCAAGGAGGATATGTTTTTTTATTATACGCTGAATAATTGGGTACGCAACGATCTAACACATTATACAACTTTCCATAAAAATATGTACATGCATCATCGGCACTATAAAAGCTTTCTAAAAAAGTCCAGTCAATATTATACATAAGTGGAAAATATGCCTTACGAAAATTATAACAATTTGTATAAGAAGATTCTAGGTTATTTTTGTTGTCAAGTTTTTCCATCCAAATATGATCAAGTCAAGCGTATATACGGATATACCCTTGAGATAGAGTAGGATAAGCGGTCTCATCGATAAAGCACCTAACTTCTAGATGTCTAGATTATATTTAAACTGTGCCTCTAGAGACCCCACGCCAAATAATTGTGGTCCCATCTTTTGAAATGCTTTCACGCACAAGCTCAGATTAAAAAACTGAAACGACGATAGTCTTCGTCTATATCTTTAATGGTCAAAAGGGTACATCATTTACTAAGGACCTCTGGCGGATTTTTTAGAATTTTGCTTATTTTAGATACATACTTTTTGTTTTTATATACACCTACAATAACTGTCATGCTTCGTGAACATTAGTATAATAACTTGTCAAATGATTGACCAATCATATAATGGTCATATCTTAAAGTTGGAAACATGTTGATGTTAAAACATGCTTTATCTAGTTCTTATAATGGTTAAACGAGTACCTCACCTTCTAACGACATCTGGTTGATTTTTTGGAACTACGTTCTGTTTGGTGCCATATCGTCTTTTGTATTTATATGGGATTTGAGGGAAGTTGAAACACCTATAATAATTGTCATTCATCGAGGTCTAATTGGAACATTTTCTGTGTCAAGCAATGGTTCTTTATATGTCATATGCAGTTACATAGGTGTATTAGAAAAAAAATTTCATTTTTCAAAAAATTATTTAAATTAACTAAATCCAGTGCATTCAATAGCTGAATGTATGCGTGTTCACTTATTTTTTGGATTAACGTTTTTTTAACTACTTTTATTTTAGTAAAATGACATCCTTATAATATCATCTACTGGTACACTTCTTACTCAAATATTATTTATATATTTTTTGTGTAAATAATTAAAAAATCAAAATCACAAAAAAACTTTGGAAAAATTCCACTTCAATCATACATTTACTCACTGCAACAAAAATTGGAGGTCAAAACCCCTAGGCTTTGTAGATACTAAGTCCCCCACAAAAAGCATAATTTCGATTGACTTGTAGTACCCTATAAGCGTGATTACATTGAAAATTCCACACCTGTAATTTTGAACCAATCAAAATACGTGTTTTTGACAGATCACCATGGCAACGGAGGTATTTTAGTGAACATTTTTTTCTCGTGGGGTACCCAACAGCGAATTATACTGGAAATTTTTTGACGTTTACAATAACAGACCATTTTTGACAGACTGGTTTTTATTTGTTCACATAATAGGTTTAGTTTTGATACATTTTAGTTACAATGCTAAGGTGTTTTCTATATTCTTCGGCCACTTCTTTTCTTCTTAATGGCGAAAATGCAGGTCTTTGGATGCTTTGAATTATGTGTCTATGTCTAATAAAATATATATAATATTTAGACACTAATTTATTCACCTTTTTCCCATTCAGCACTTTGAATTTTGCGTAGTTTAGGTGCAAATATTCGTGGACAATTCGGAACAAATTTTCGTTTTTCAAGTTGGGGCCACAATCCTCTATTAATCCGAGTAAGTAAGTCATGGTGCAATGATTGATCATTACATCAGACAATTTCACGCAAATTTTGCATAGCGTATGATTTTCAAATCGATTCATTTTTAAACAAATAGGTAATTTTGTTGGTTTTACTTGCTGTGCAATATTCTTTATCGCAACAAAACGCGAGTTATTTAATGTTTTGAACTGTCAAAATACAATGATCACAGCCTCCTACGATTGATGCTTGCTGACGCTGGTTATGAATTTCATACCATTTTAAAGCGCTCATAACGCATGTTAATAAAAACGCAGAAAAACAATTTTCTACCACTTGTAGTTATTCAAAACTTACGTAAAATTAAAGAATATACTATTTTCTATTTTCAAATGGTATTCCCATGCAACTACAATGAGTAGAAATAAGCAATTTGAAGGCCTAAATAATTGCAGCGAAACATTTTTTTACGTCGGGCCGCTTGACAACTTCAAAACTGAAATTATATTCGAGGTTACCATGATAACTCAACAATCAAGGCGACAACACCTTTTATGTTTCACTGGTGACTTGGAGAAAATAATTTGCATTGTTGAGAAACGAAAAATAAATTTTAAAAATATTTAATTTTCAACCATAATTCGGCGTGAGGAATTTTCTTACCGAATACCACGCGAGGTCAAATTAATATCAGGAAATTTTTTGACCTCTAGTGGTATTACTAGTGAAAATCTTTCTGTTAAATACCCAGATTACTTCTTTTACATTTATTAATAATGTTTTCATTAACGGAGCTGTCAAATAATGCAAAATGTTCCCTTTATACAATTATTAGCCATTCAAATATTAGCGGCTGTTCATAGCAAAGTTATAAAACAGAATCAATTGTTGATTGAGTACTTGATGCTTAGAAAATTATATGAATTTTTAAAAGTGAATAAAAATTGAGTCATTAAATTGTTGTATTTGTAATGTTGTCCTCTTTATTTTTTTTGTCATATTTTTTTTTTGTGTATTTTTATTTATTTTGTAACTGACTAGTCTGATAACATTTTTGTACATTTGTATAAATTATTTAATTTTGTAAATACATTTTATTAATATTATTAGAAATACATTAGAGAAAACTCACCAACAGCATCTGCAATTGTAGAAACCTCCTTGCAGGTCAGGAACAGCGAATAAAAATTAACCATGATGACGCCCCTGTTCATGGCGAGCTTCCTTAATGTGTCGTCCGGGACGTTTCTGGTCGAATTGCAAAGCGCATGCGCCGATGAATGGCTGAAGATGACGGGCGCTTTTGATTCCTCCAATGCGTCACGCATCGTATTGACGGACACATGTGACAGATCGACTATCATGCCCAGTCGATTCATTTCTTTAATTATGCTCTGCGAAACAAAGGAAAAGTTGATATTACAGGAAACTGTTTGTAGTTATTTTCCTAAGCAGTGCGGAAAGTCGTACTTTTCCGAACTCAGAATAGAGAAAAATAGATTTTTTTTCATTTGTAGCTAAGAACAGTATATTTTTCTGACTGTAACGAAAATAGATATTTTAGACAAAAATCGACTTGTAATCCAGAAAAACAGATTTTTGGACAAAAAACACAGAAAAATCAACTTTTTCGAATTGGAAAAGAAATTTTTCTAACAGGTAAATGTACGAATAATAGATTTTTCAATTTAGAACATCAAAAATATCGACTTTTTAGAACTCAGATAAATCGATGTTTATTTTTCTTACAGAATCGATTTTTTTCACTTGGAACTTGTAACTATAATAATAATACTCTACCTAATTCACCCCCTTAGGAGTGAATTTTAACCCCAAAAGCTGAGCTTGTGCAGGGAAAGGGACGGCTATTATTATTATTATTTGCCGTGGCGCTCCGGGGCGACTTAAAGATGATTGATGGTGCCATTTGACTTACAGGTGAGGAAAACCTCACCCACCATCATCGAGACGGTAATGCATGGCGATTTTTTAATCTGCATGTCATATCAACAGAAATTGGATTTCTATTAATACGGCACACATCAAATCCTAAACCGAACCATGCAATTTAATTAAAAATCCACATGGTCTAGTCTGGGATTCAAAGCCCAGTAGTCTCTGACTCATAAACTTGCCTATAAATGAATATAAGCGCGTTAGACGGCTACACCACCGACCCAATTTTGTAAGGATAAACGATATTTCCGACTTAGAAGATCTATAACGGACGCCTTAGAATTAAGAAAAATCGGTTTTTCTGATTTGTACTCCAGAACAATAAAATTTTCCAGCTTAAAAAGAAAATACAGAAAAATCGACTTCTTTTTCGATTTAAAATGAAGAAAATTCGATTTTTTAACTTATAGCTAAGAATAATGTTGTGACTTGTAACTGTAAGGATAACAGATATTTTCGACTTAAAAAATTCGACTTTTTCGATCTAGAACGCTTCGAATTAAGAAAACATGAATTTTCAGACTTGTAACTCAGGGAAATATATTTTTCCGGCTTAAAATAAAAATAAATCGACTTTTTATAAAATTAAATAATATTGATTTCTTTCACTTACAATTAGTTAGGAACAGTGTTCTGACTTTTAACCTATAAGGATATTTTTTTTTTTTTTTTTTTTTTTTTTGGCTTAGGCAGAGACCAATTAGCCAGACTTTTTTTTTTACTTAAAATGTATTTATTTACGTGATAACTTGTACCGATTTTGTTCAATTGGATACAATGGTTGGTTTAAGTGGTTAGTATAACTGTGTGTAATTATTATTATTTTTTTTTATTTACTTGTTTTTTTTTTATTTAGATGTTTTTTTTGTATGTGTTTTTTATATACATGTTTTTTTGTATGTGTTTTTTATTTACATGTTTTTTTTTTTAATTTTTTTTTGTTTATATTTTTTATATATATATATTTTTTTTTTTTTTTTTTTTTTTTTTTTTTTTCGTCTACACACTTACATATTTAATTATTTGTCAAAATTGCTCACACATATTATGTTAGTAGTTTACAATTTCATTTTACAGCGTATTACATGTTTGTATAGGTACGAATAAATATCCAAATTGTTCGAGAATATTATCCCGTTAAGATTTATCGGTAAATTTAAATTATTTCTGATTAAGTCTCTATATAATTTATCAATGCTGTCTCTGTGGATATTACACTCCAAAATCATATGTTTGAGATCTCCTGTCTTGCCACATCTACAAAGCTGGTTTTCCGATATGCCAAACCTGAATTGATATGCTGGGGTAAGGGCATGTTGTGATCTTATTCTATTGATTGTTATGATAAAATGCCTGTTTGTTATGGTTTTAAACCATCTTACAGTTGGAATTTTTTCTTGACAACACATGTAATTTATTCCGGTAGTAGATGCACTATATCTTGCTTGAAATGTGTCCCTGAGAGTTTTCTTAAAGTTTGTTGTTAAGTCAGTGTACGGGATACAACTTGTGGTTAAATCTGTTCCTGTACTCAGTGCTGATTTTGCCAATTTGTCTGCTATCTCATTTCCCTTTATACCTGTATGTCCTTTTACCCACACTATGAGAACCGTTTTCTTTTGATAGCAAATGTCAAAGTGATGTTTTAAAATTTCTGTTTCTATATGTGTTAGCTTTGGTGTGGTACGTAAGGTTTTTATACTTTCAACTGCACTTTTGCTGTCTGTAAAGATGATATGGTTTTGGCTTTTGTTTTTGGATATGTATTTAAATGCATTTAATATTGCAGTTAATTCTGCCGTGTATATTGATGCTTTCTCTGGTAACTTGAATTTGGCTGAATATTTGGTATTCGACTCATATAATGCACAGCCTGTTTGTAGATTTGTTTTGAGCCGTCTGTATATATATAATGATATCCAGGCCATTTCGAATTTATGGTTTCAATAAAGTTTTCTGTTATCGTAAGCTGGTAAGTCTCTATTTTATGGGAAAAAAGGACATGTAGATCTTCTGAATAATAAGGAAGTATGCTGTTGGAATAAATACAACTTCTAAAGTTCGACAGGTAGGTTTAACCATGGAGGAAGGATAATTAAGAGTTGCCGTTTCTTTGAAGAAATATGGCAACAGGTTTGCTTGCAGCGCCACCGGTAAGGGATTTGTCCAACTATTTCTCAGTCGGTAATATAGATACCTGCATATTTTATTTTATTTAAAAATTAGCGGGATTTTGTTTGTAGCTCTACTTTAATTAGTATAACTAAAATTTTGCATTTTTATTGGCATTTTTTACAACACAGACAAGGTGCAAGATGTAACAAAATGTCAATCAAAATGTAAAATTTTATGACCCATAATTTTAGGAAGGGTAAAATAATGTAATATAAAATAATTGTATTATCTATTATATCATTAAAACTAATTTATAATAAATTTTCTAAATAAACAATATTTTAACAAAACGACTAAAACTTTCTGTAAACTTGGGAAGGCAACAAAACACATGAAGGAGAACCATCCATATAATCTGAAACAGAAAAAATTCAAAGTAGTATTTTAACTTCATATTATTTTGAATCTCTTTTTTCTTTTAGACATTGTCACAGTTTTATACTTTCATTATATTATTTTATAATTAATAATGATAGTCCCTTCATCTTTTAATTAGATGTAGTACTTTTAAAAAAACAGATGTCTGCGGGATCAAGCTTTGAGGTCCCTCTTTGATTCGCAAATTTTACTTTGCTGTTTTCTAATTATAAAATAGAGTTTTTTCTCCCTTGGAGCTAACCATTCACTGGATTGATTTAAAAATCCAAGAGCTAATTATTGTTTTTTAGGTAATAATTATATTTCATTGGATGAAATTTTAATCGAATGTAACTTCTTTTCACTGGTAATTTGTTTGACGGTATGATAACAATATTACTTTAGTATTACTCTTTACTGTTAATTTAGCTTTCAAGGGTACCAAAGGTAAAGCCAATTTACAGTCTTGTAACCTATAAATGGTTTTTTGCAAGTGGAATGATGAAGTTTATGCGGCATCATTTAGTTCCTTGCTTAATATCGGAAGGAAATAAAAAAAAATGTGTTCTTAAAATGTACAGCATAAATTGGACAGTAAATTGTACTATTTACCTTTATACAAACAACGCTATTACAATTAGATATTATGAATTTATTACGAACAGGACCTGCTAAACACATGTTAAAACATCAAAATATCTTTGCTTAATTTTAAATTTAACATGTTTAACTAAAACTAAAATTAAATAAAAGTAAAAGTACTTACCACGTTTTATTCAACAACCATAACCATATTGTTTTGTTATTGTATCGGTTCGAACGAGTGACAATCCCAAAGTCAGATTTACATTGTACAAATAATTGATTAATTCATGTTTTTCAAATAATTGTAGTATTTATATAAATATATAATTTTAAAACAATACTTACTGTGTATTACTTTTGTTATTAAGCGAAATATATTTGAATTATTCAATTATTCAGTGTACTTTAAATTTAAATATCATTTTATTATTGTAAAACGGACTGATATGCGCGGATGTGTTGCGCACTAACCTGTTGATATAACGCGCATATGTTATAAGCCCCCCTGGGTTTAACTTTCTACAAATAGAGGGGTCGTTTTAGTTCGCCAATATGGATGAGTTAGGGTTAATATTGAAAGGCTATGAATGGAGTTTAGGTAGGTTGCGTTTCTTGAAGTTGCTTTGGCTATAAGTTTGTGGCTTATGTATTGTCTTCTGAGTTGTAGTGGTGGTTCAATAGCTTCGGCTTCCATTATGTTTATTGGGGTAGATTTAAGATATCCTAGGCTTATTCTGAGGCATTTATTTTTTTGCGATGTTGAAACATGCCAAACGAACCTACATGGCAGTTTCCTAAAATTACATAAATGGCTTAATGAAAACAATCTAACTCTCTCGGAAAAACAATCAGAAATTTGTTTATTCCAAAGAAGTAGAAACGCACCCCAAAACCAAATTCGACTAGGACCATATTTAATTCCAAACAAAAATAGCATCAAATATTTAGGACTATACTTGGATAGGAAATTATTGTGGAAGGATACTATCCACCAAACTATAAAGAAGTCAGAAAACGCAATAAACATCTTAAGAGCCTTTTGTCGAACTAAGTGGGGAGCAGATCCGAATATAGCCTTAATGTTCTATAAAACTATGGTAAGAAGCATTTTAGACTACGGCAGTCATCTATATGGTTCTGCAGCCTATATACACCTAAAAAAAGTTGAATCGCAAAAAAAGGATAGTTTATACTTAGAAAAATAGACTTTTTAAATCTAGAAAGCTCGACTTGGAATCAAGAAAAATCAATTTTTATGATTTACGCAGAAAAATTGATGTTTCTGACTTAAAACTAACTTTTTTCACTTTTAACTAAGAAT